AAGAAATTAATAATAATTTTATACTAGTTCTTTATCTCTTATGTGTTTCTTTTCTCACAGTAAACTTTGAAACACACCTACCAAAAAGTTACATCCCTTTATAATCATTTAAAATCATCACTTATATTTTCACATTGCTTAAAAAATCAAAGTAAAAGGACAAATTTTGTCCAAATAGGACTTCAAACTAAGATGACTAAAGGGGGAAAAATCATGTTAAAAGGGTAATCAATACAACTATCAATATACGCATATCAATAAATCTCAGAAGAATTAATTAGTAGTATAAATTGAGGAAAAATCCATTCCTTAAACTTGGTATATGCTATTTTAAACTAAATAATTTTGGTATACTGACCTGTGAGTCTGACTTAGTTCCCATTGTACTCTAGATGGATTTAAATAACATGTAAAGAGAAAGCAAGAAAAAAAGCCCACTAATACCTTAATTCTCACAGGTAATTTTGTTTTGTAAATAAGAATGCCTATGCTCATAATGTAAACAACCATTGTTTCATAATATAATAATTTATCTATGTATTTATAGCTTATCTTAAATCTTTGTCACAGATGATTATAGTAACACTGAGAAAGTGTCTTCCAAAGGAAAAATCTTCATTTAAAAATTTCTTAAACATTTATTTTCCTGCATAATTATGCCAAACATAAACTAATTTATCAAATAAACATTTTGAAAGTAGTTTTCCTCTCGAAACTTTAAAAAAAAACACTCACTGTTATTTGATTCTTACTACTCCAGGACATGAAGTTTCAAAAATCATTTTACAATTCACTTTTTAAGATTTAGAAACAATAGGAGAAGCCAAGAATATTTCTTTCCCCTTATGATCCTAGAGCACAGTTATGATCCTATTACTGTTTGCTTCCCCAATTTGAAAGAACTGCTTAAAGCAAAGTATTGTGCAATCATAATAACTCCCATATAACATATTATTTTAGTTAAATACATTTGCCATATTTGGGATCTACTGGTTTTAGAAACATGTGCAAAAACATAAAAAAAACACATTTGACACAAACTTTCTTGTCCCCTTCTTTCTGAAGAAAAGAGTCATTATTTTCACTCAATCAATTGAGGAGTTTATTCTCATTTCTACCAAGAGCCTCCCCCTACTCCTGTCCAGACATTTTTTTTTTCTCCAAATGTAGAAACCATTCAAAGAAAAGAAACTGGACTTTTCAAAAACATATTGCTGATAACTGTCAGTAAATAGCACAGAAGAACTTTACTGACTGTGGTTTCAGTGAATTAAGCTTGATTCACTACAGAATGAAAGGCAGAGCTGTTCAGCAGTAATTGGCCAGGAATTCCTGCTGTGAAAAGTACTTGTCAAATATTCCTTGTTTACAAATAAACGCCAGACAGTAAATTAAAAGTAATAATAATAGTAATAGTAATAATAATTTAAAGGGTCAGCTATTGATTAAGTTTTTGCCCACATCCAGAATCCATACCTCAGTGGTCTTGCTTTCTTGTTTATTGAAAGTACTAAAATATGCACCTATTGTGGTTAAAAGAGCTAGTGAAATTTGTCTTTGCACTGTTCTACTTACCAATCATGGAGGACTCACTTAGTCAAATAAGACTCTGAATTAATTTATTATTTCTTTTAAAGTTACCATACCCTGTCAGGTAGTTCAAAGGTTTTTGTTTTTCTTTTTGCTTTTGTTTTTTCTGTATAGTAACAATACAATTTTATGGAAATAGGACAGCTGAGCCAAAGAACAAGGCCTCTTCATTTAAAGGGACTGCTATCTGGCTAATAATGTTCTTTACCATTGAGGCCAAAGAATGCATGTGCCTTCTTTTATATGGATCTCTTCTGTTATATTTTCCACAAGCCATAATATTGGAAAATTCATTTTATACTGATCCACAGATTCCAGATATGTCTGGAATCACCTATTTCATTTTCTTTACCTTTTCTTATAGAAGTCCAACAATCAAATCATTAAAAGCTAACCGGATCTTTTGACTGCAAACTTTTAAACTATTTTCTACTGGAATTGCAACTTATTTTCTTATTTAATCAGGACCATATATCACATATATACAAATAGATTAAGAGACCTAAGGATTTATATATATATATATACACATATATATACATATATATACATATATAACATATATATATATGCCTTATTAGGGAGAAGGGAGATGGAAAAATAGAATTAACACTAAGATTCTATATTTCTATAGCACATTGCACATATCTGATTTTTCCAAAGAACTCCACCTGCTTCTCGACCCCTCAAACTGCTCAGCCTACTTAAAGACACTGGGGGAGGGGGTAGAGAAAAGGGAGAAGGGGGAAATGAGAGGGGAGAGTAGTGTCAGAATATATTCAGGATATAATTTCTTATTTCTTCACAATTAAAAGCAATGGCTGGGTGAAGTGAGAAGAGCAAGATTACAAAATTTAAAAGAAGTACTCAAGTAAAGGTCTGGGAGAGTAAAAGAAATGTCAGAAAAAAATGAAAAAGTATAGAATGGAGGTGAGATTAGGAAAAGAGAAGATTAGATCAATGAAAATAATGATTTTGTTTCTATTTCTATTTAAGTTTCTTTCTGCTATTTTTGTTGTGCTCTAAACACAAGTGTTGAATTATGGACTATTAGAACCTTAGGCATTTCCAAGAAGGCACAATATTTCTATTTTTATTTTTATTTTTGGTCTAAAATGTACCTTCCTGCACCTCATGTCTTCCCCAGTTCTGAAAGAAGATGAAATACTGCTAAATAGCTTAGGACTAATCTATGTTAACAGACTCGGTTGTCTGATATGGTCAGTATGATCTGTTTTATGAAGTTCTTGGGGGGAATAGATGGCTGTTACATACTTCCATTCCCTCTTAATTTTCTTCTTTTCTTTTTCCTTCTTGAATTAAGTAGGCCTTTTCAGATTCAGTTACACATACTATCCTCACAACCAGACACATACTACCCCCTTAACACACATACACACACACACACACACACACACACACACACACACACACACACACA